CGGGGCGGGGCCGAGCCTGCTCCGCCTGGAGGCCCCTGAGTTTAACTCCAAGCACAGCGAGGGGGCCAAGCGCCCGACTTGGGGTGCCATCCTACGTCTTCCTAAAGGGAGGCTTCGTAACTGTCATCGTATTTTCCAAGACTTATAACCCCTCCTCGCCCAAAGGTAACAGCACCTGATTCAGGGGGAGAACAGAAGGCCTGGGCCTTCAGGAGGCTGCGGTTTTGGGGCCACACACAGCGGATCCCCCCAGAATTCGGAGACCCACTTAGGAAAAACGCACAAACCATCCTTGAGAAGGGCAAGTGGAACTTGGGACATTCTCTGCGAAATCTTAGTGAGTAGACAGGTTAAAGTGCCCCCAAAATGTGGCAGAAACTTACACAGAAAGGCAGGAGAAACGGGCAGTGGGGGCGAAGGTGGGCTTCTCATGCCAGACACCAGGCCCGCAAACAACTGGGCCACGCATTCAGGGTATTTAAAATTACAAGGACTTGCTCCTCTCACTTATACAAATATGTCGAAAAGGTTCCTAAACCTAAGTGTGACATAAAGATGTCTAAAATCCCCCTAAAAAGCTATGCTTCCAAACTCCCCAAACCCACCCTCAAGTGCTTTTCTCTCTTGGAGATTCCCTCTTCCTCTCCCCCAAGTAGTTCCAGGAAAGATAAAAGCTAAAGCATTTTTGCTGAACTGATTTTTAAATTCCCTCACACCCTTCCTGCCCAAACCACCTAGAAGATGTGTAGAGATGATTTAGGACTTGAACTTGTTAATTAACCTAAACAGTCACATTCATCTGCAAGATGCATTGTCGTTAATTAAAACTGCGATTCTCCTTGTGCCCAGACAGAGGGCGGCTGATGTCAGAATAATTAAAATAGTATATGATGGTTTTCTTGAAAATCCCTGGCAATTAGAGTTGGTGATGAACTGGGTTTAAAATCCCAGTGAAGTTTTCAATTAGGCTTCCTCTCAGGGTGGCGTCTGAAGGAAGGTGATGGTGAGGCTCCGGGATAAAAGGGGTAGATAACAGGGTGTGAGGACCAGCTACCAGCTTCCTAAATCCTCTGGGAGGGACCTGAGCTTGGAATAAATGAACCATGGGCATCAATGTGATCTTCAACCTACCCTTAAAAAATAAGGCTCTCTCCTTAAAGAAGCAAATGCGGACACACACATGCACACACGCACACACACACGTACACCCAGAGCATCCTGTGCTCCCAGGAGCTGCTCCCGGGGTTTCATCTCTCCAAGAGGAATTTTTCTTTAGTCAGGAGGCCCAGCAACTTGTACACAGCCGAAATCCCTGCCAACCCTGAGATTAAATTCTTAAGGATTCTAAGGAAACGGGGCCTGTACTCCTGAAGGGTGCATAAAAGGCGCCAGATTCAGAGGAAGGTTGAAGTGCTTGCCGGCGCGCAGTGGGTTAAACAACCTGGGGTAAAGGACTCCTAGGGAAGCCTTAGAGGAAAGACAGAGGTCAGGGCTAGACATCCCAAAGAACTATCTAAATGCAGCCTAGATGATGACAGGGAGGAGCAGGCCCCTGCAGGGACTGGGGCAGAGCTGGGGGCAGGGTATCACGGGCAGGAGGTAACTTTAGGGAGGTGTTTCCAACCAACCTGCCCTCTTACAGGCCGCAGGCTTCTGCTCCTGCTTTCCCTTTGGGAGAGATGTGATAGCTGCTGAACTATCCAGGGTTCTCTCTAACAGGACTGAACAGGAGGGGTTTTTACTTGGAAACGTGAACTGGGGGGAGATAAGACAACCCGGTGGTCTTCAATTAAGTTTCCCTTGCATGGGGTCGACACGGAAAGATTCAGCAAGTCAGACACCCGTAACTAGGTCATTCGCCTCTGAGAATCCAGTACCTTATAAGGGAGCTGGGCCATGCCTGGTAGGGCTGAGAGAGTGGGCCCGGGCTGGAGGGGGACCATGAGAGAAGGCTGAAAAGGAAATAAGAGAAAAATAAACCACTGGACACATTCAGGAGCTGTGTTGACATAATTTAGGTTTGTAAATGATTTTCCTCCTTCATTTTCTTTCCTTCTCTTTCAGAATGTCTCCCGCATCTCAGTCAGCCCCTAAATCCCACCTTTCAACTTAGGATGTGCCAATCAGCAGCTAAGCTAGTAGTTACTGAGAGACAGGAGGTGGGGGCTTTGCAGGGTTTGTCACTGCCCCCAACCAGGACAATTCCCAGGGCCCTTGGCACCGCCTGCCCAGGATGCTCTCGCTCATCCCTGCACCTCTCCTGCACTCTGCTAGGCATCGCCAAGCACAGAGCCAAGCAGAGCTGGTGCAGGGCAGGAGCCAGGCATAGCTCGCCTCTGAAAATGGAAAGACCACATTTGGATTTCAAAGTACGGAAACTTCTTAAGTTTCCCCAGCTTTTCATTGGGTTAGAGAGAGGAACTCGTGTGTGTGTGTGTGTGTGTGTGTGTGTGTGTGTGTGTGAAAGAGAGAGAGAGAGATCTTGGGTAGGGGGTGAATTTATGGGTGGCAGTAGCAGCTGTTCCCCTTATGGACAGAGGCTTATTCATTGCTCTTCCAATCACCACCTAAATGTGGCTGTGTAGAGGCCGAGAAAAGCCTCCAGGATCAAGATTAGCAGCAAAAAATCAGGGGGGTATTTAAGGGAGAGGTGCCCAGGGCATAGGGATACAGTGTGAAAGATAGAAGAAAAGATTGTGTGTGTGTTGGGGGGAGGCTTATTCTAAGAGCTGGGGTTGGAAAGAGAAATCTGGGGGGACTTTAAGCAAAAATGAATCACGTCAGGCCTCTTCCTCTTTAAGTTTCTCACACTGCACAACTTCTTGATTTTTAGTTCCCTGCACACAACCTATAACAGAAAAGATTGGGCACAGAAACAGGGGTAAAGAAAACTTACGTGTAGGGAGTGTGTCATAATTCCTGATTCCATGTCCTAAGAACAAGGAAGGAGAGAAGAATGGAGTGGGGGGGAGGGTGAGAGAGGTGAGAGCACACACAGGTGTGTGCAATTCACACACTGATGGCGAGGCAAGCAGATATGTCACCATGTGTTATTATACGCATGCATCTAACATGGGCGTGAGTTTTAACAGATCGAGGCAGATGGACATGCTCACACGCAGGGATTAAGGTCATGCTGAGGAATCAGCCTCAGAGAAATGACTCCTAGCTAGTGGCTCCTAGAATTCCCTTGATCTGTCCCCTGTACTGTGTGAGGTCCCAGGATGCTTCTCTCCACCTTTCCCGCCACCACTCTGATCCCTAAACAAAGCCAGCAGGTGGCAGGGGGACAAAAGGCGTAGAGGAAGGTAGAGCAGGCCAGACAGGGAGGGGAGTCGCACTCCAGGCTCATCTTTTCTCTCCTCTGCTTTGCTTTCTCCTGTTTCTATTTTTCATTCATTTGCTCTCTGTAGCAGCTTCTCTTCTTTCCTTACCTTCTAAGCCATCTCTCCTAGTTTTTTAGGGTTAGCTGCTCCCCTCATATCCTGGTCCCCTTTCTCTGCCCCCTTGGAAGAGATGGCAGTGACCTCACACGTGGAGAAAACACCTGTGTGCCCTGAGGATGTTTTCTATGTCATTCACTTTCTCCTCAAACCAGCTAGAGAAACAGAAGCTAGCAGGGCAATCTGGAGTGAAATCTCTCTCTCTCTCTCCATTTTCCTTCCTCTCTTCTACATTTCCAGACAAAATAAGAAACCACCAGCTTCATAAAATCAGCATAGACTTTAATTCAGGTTGGCAGTGGGGAGAGAGCTACAACTTCCCTGCAGGGGTGTCCGGTTGAGAGGCCCATCCTGCGGGGAAAGGGCGAATAGCCCGGCGGCAGGACAGGGCCAGGAGCAGGGGTGCGGCCACGCAGTGCAGTATCGCCAGGGCTTCTGCCAGCTGCAGCAGCAGGTCCAGGGCCTTCTGGGTCGGGCATGACGACAACACCAAGAGCCTGGACCTCACTAGGGAGTCCAGTCCCCAGAGCACTCCATGAAGCCACCAGAAGGCAAACCAGAGCCACAAGACATCGACCCAGGGATACGGCCCCCGGCCCAATGCTTTCGTCAGCCCTTTGGCTCCTAACAAACACAGTGGCAGCAGGACAAAGACGGCGAAGCAGGCGGCGGTGTGCAGAAAGCGCACAGTGCCCTGGCTGAGTCTCAGGGTGCAGAGTCCATTGGAAGTGTCAGTGGCCAGAGCGAGTGGCAGCCCCAGTAGGAAAGCCACTCCCCAAAGTCCCACGGTCAGCTTCAGGGTGAAGCCCGGGACCTGGCCTGCGCCCAGTCTGGGACCCAGGCAGGCACGGCAGCCTATCAGCAAAGCTTGGGCAAAGGCCGAGCCATACCAGACTAGGTGGGCCAGGTGGCACAGGTAGGTGTTGTGGGCACCGCTTAGCCCTGGTGCGAGGATGGGCACCACGACGCTGAAGAGGGCACTGCCCGCAGCTAACTGAATGAGGACCTGACGGCCAGGACAGAGCTGCCGGTCAAAGATAGGTCTGAGAAGAGCGAAGAGCACAGCAGCACTCAGCAGGATGCCCAGGACCCCGGCCAGGACGTAGAACGGCAGCGAGGACTCATCCAGCAGGTTACAGGAGTGGCAGGGGGCAGCTGCGTCCAGCCTGCTGTAGTCATCGTCACCGTAGGAATAGTTCCACTCAATCGAAAAGTTACCTTCGAAGGGAGAGGCGCTGGAATTCTCAACAGTGGAGAAGTCCACCTGGAGGACATCCCCAGAGGGGACAATCATAGCGTCTAGTTACCCCGCTGAAGAGTCGCTGGGGGACTAAGAGGCAAGGGAAGGGGAGGAGACAGGGGAGCCCGGGCTGGAGAAAGGGGGCTGGAGGAGTTGGGTGCAGTGGGGATGGTGCAAAAGGACATTACCGCTGAGAGCCCGGAGCCGGTAGAGAAACAGAGTCACGGAACTACAAGGGGAGGTCTGAGGGCAGGACTGGAGAGCAGGGGAGGGTCAGAGGGATGGCAACCAGGGGCCTGGGTGGTACTTAACCGAAAGACAGGTGAGGGGGGAAGTGACAGGACCTAGGGGTCTGTGGTAAGAAGGGAGGGAAAGAGGGAAGGATAAGAGATGAGACGGGAAGGAGTTAGAAAGACAGAGGCCAGACAGAGGGGTATTAGGGGCACAGTTGTGGGTTGTGGGCTCCTCCCCACACTCACCGGGTACAGACAGTTTCCCATGACACCGCTGGGCTCAAGGCAGGCAGAGAAAGGCTGGGCAGTTCTGTCACCTGCTGTGGTTCTGAGATAAGTGCCAGGGACTAATGAAAGCCATCAGTTCTGGGCAGGGCCATTGGGTGGCAGGGGGTGGAGGCACATTCGGGAAGCCTTTGCCCCATGCCCGCCGCCTAAGCTTCAGGCCACGTAGGGCATTGGCCGGGGCTTCCTGTTTTGAGGTTGGAATCTGCTGGTGGGGACGTGCACTCGGGAAAGGAAGAAGGTGGGGACCAGAAGGTGGGTATTTTCCCGAAGGTGGAGAGGGAGGCTGAAAAGCCAAGGGGCTTTCCAGCAAGGATTCCTTCAGCTCGAGGAAGGAAGAGGGGCCAGGGGTGAAGTGTGAGACAGAGATAAGAGACCTGCTGGGAAGCTGGAGGGAAGGCAGCTGACGACTCTCACTGCTCCTCCACCCCTTGAACTTGAGCCAGTGAGAGACTTCAAAAGCCCTGCGTTTGTGAGAGGGTGTTCACGGTGCTGGGGCTGGACCCATGGGATGCTGACAAGCTGAAGGGGGTGTGGGCGGGGCCCTGTGCATAGCCTGGGTGTGCCAAGGTGCCTATTTACCTGTGCGTGGCCCTGTGCCGTGCATCTTGCGCACGTATCTGAGGCAGCTGTCCGGGCCTGGGCCTGGGTGTTTCGGTGTGAGGGGGGAGGCCTGCCTAATGAAGCTACTTCAGGGAGGGACTGGGCATTTGCCTTGTCACCATGGGTGCAGCCAAGCATCTTTCATAGCAAGCAGGACACGGGCTGACGACTTGGAGCAGGCTCTGGGGGACAATGGGACAGCATGTTTTCAAGTGGGCCTATTGCCTCTGGGGTAATCTCTGTTCACATTTCTATTGGGGACACAGGCTGGGCAAGCGCTGCACTGGCCTGGTGTCTCCACACTGTGTGAAGGTTCTCGTGCGGGGAGAGCTTGTTCCTCCCCAGATGGCTGACAGAAAGGGATCCGCCTGGGGGAGGATCCCCCCAAGCTGAGCTCTTTGGTAGCCTGTTTTCCCCAGTTGCTTTCTCATGGTCTCTGCTGATTCATCCCCCTTTCACCCCCACATTTTATTTCTTCAGTTAGGGAGACTTTCTGGACATCGGGAGAGGCGAGTCATGGGGTGTCCGAGTCGGATTGGTGAGAGAGAGAGGGCTGCTTAGGCGGCATGTTTCATTTGTCCAAGAAAGCACGTGAAGTTTTAACTCCTACTCTGCCAAGTAGCTCCCTCCCATTCACATAGGGCGCCTGGAGGTGGAGTAGGGGAGCCAAGTTGCAAAAGAATGGAGCCCTCACAAAGACCGTTCCCTAGCTCCAGTTTCAGGTTCAGCATGAGGGGAGGTTGGAAAATGAGTTTAGGGGACCTGTTGAAACTGTCCTAGAATGACGTTGGTGGCCTCTTCACCTTCATCTCCACCTTCTCCAATCCTGCCTGATGGAAGACAGTGGGAGCAGCCAGGTGCTCTGCCCCAAACACCCTGGAAAGCAAGGACCCAGCCAACGGGAGTGAACACACTTCTCTCCCTCGGAGAGTTATATTGTTTCCATACAGAGATGCCCTTGGGAGAGTGGCCTGGCGAGGCACACGCCGCCCCTGAAAGTACCAGGTGAGGGGATACCAGCAGAGCAGCCCTTATACACGTATCCCCACAGGAACAAGAGCAGCAAGAAGGAGGCAGCCGAGCGACAGTGATCCAGATATATTGAGGGTGCCCCTCTGAGATTAGCATAGGAGAGTTAGAAAGATTATAAAGATACACGGTCCCCTCCCTGCTCCCTTCCCCACCCCCACCCACAGACAGACACACAAAACACAATGGTCCCTCTTCCCCCTCCCCCGGTACAAATATGGCTTCTGTGTAATATGGACAGAGTGATTCAGCTCAAAGAGGAAAAGTCATTTTCCCGAAAGCGGGTGCTAGGAGACAGGGAGCCCAACAGGCCTGGGGCACTGGGCTGCCTTGTTGTGTGAGGAGAGAGCCTCGGCTTAGAGGGGCTGCCTGTGGTGCCCAGGGCCCTGCCCAGCTGCTGGAAGATCCACAGCGGTACTACCTGAATCGAAGGGGCGGGCAGACCTGCTGGATGCAGCTGCCCCCGTTTTACACACCCCTGGGTTGTCATAGCAGGGAGGACATGCTGGACGAGGGTGACAGCGGGCATCCTGGGTCTGAGGCAGAGTGGCTGGCTGGACTGGGAGCATGAGCTACTTATCTCCATGGCAACCAGCTCAGGCCACAAAGGAAGACAGAAAATCAAAAGGGGGGGGGGGTAGAGCTGGGAAGAAGACGGCAAGTTTCTCTCCAGCCCTCAACTCACTGGATACAGAAGTGACAGCGGTGGTTCTAGGGTCAGGGCCAGGGAGTGGCCTGAGGGGTGCATAGCAAAGGCTGTGGCACTGACTCCATAGCTCCAAGAGGGGAGACTGAGGCAGAGGCTCGATGCTCTATGTTTTAGGGTGAGACTAGATGGGCAACTGAGCACAAACACATCCTGGGGCTGTTTTCCCCATGACAGATGGGCACTGGGGGTGGCATGGAAAATGCCAGGATGAAACAACCTCCCAGGGGAGGTACCAAGCTGGATAGGAATCCTCCACTCCCAAGGCCCCCCTTTACTTGTTCCACAGCCCGCCCACCTGCCCAGGACCCGCCTTGCTGCCTCTCTCACACACAGATGTGCACACAAACACACACACATCCACACACTCACAAAGTTCACATTATTTTCTTTGTTTGGGCAGGAAACAGTGTAGTGAAGCTCCTTTTAGTATTTTTGTGGCTATATCTGCCTGGCTGCTGGGGAAGGGAGGAAGGACTAAGGGAGAGCTTAGGACCTGGAAGGGGCAAGGGGCACAGGGTGGGAGGAGCTGGTAAACAACGCCAACAGAGTGGGTGCCGAGCAACAGCCCGGGTCGGGTGAGAGTGAGGGGCCCCTGGGCAGCGAAGCAGACAGTTGGCCTGGAGCAGGGCCTTTCCCATAGCTGCTGGAGCAAGCAGGGCAGCCTTGCCCTGCGATTCCCCCAAGGGCAACTCCTGTGTAAAGGGCCCGGTTTCATACATCACGGGGGACAAGGGGTAGGTGGGGCCATCTCTGGCATCCTTTCTCTCCAAATCTACCCCTCTTGGCAGGGAGCCACGTCCTTCCTACATGGAAGCCCTGGGGCTCTGGGGCTGCATGCCACCGGCAGGTCACACCTCCTCAGGGACCCCCATTCATTCCTTCTCCATCGGAGTGGAGCAGGGGCGTCAGAGCGGGACCTGTGTCTCTGTCCACAGCTCCAGGTATGTGACTATCAGCAGAGGACAGGCCCCTCCAGCTCCTGCTCACAACTCCCCATTCCCAGAGGCAGCCAGGAGCGGCTCTGCTGTAGAGGAGCAGGGCTGCGAGCCCCAACTAAACCAGCCCTGCTCCTCTCCTGTCCTTACCTCTTCACCCTCATCTCCTCCCAAAGCTCCAGGTTTTTGCTCTTCTCACCCCAGGGCCCTTGCCCCTCCAGCCTGGAGACAGATTTGATTTGGGATTGTTACAAAAATAATAATAACCCAAATGCAGAGAAGCCATGGAAAGGGCTGAGGGCAGCCCTCCCTCCCCCCACCCTCCTCCCTCCCCATTCCAAACCGAGTACAAAACCGCACCCAAAGCAGACATTCTGTACAGGGGTGGGGGCTGGGGAGCAAGCAGGAGGGGTGGCCCTGGGGTTGCTCTGTACAAGTCCGAGTTGGTTATGGCCCCAGAAGTCCCCACGGGGCCCCTGGAGGGGCACAGGAAGTGGGTGGGCACCCTAGATGAAATATTCCTTCTTGTCGTCCCCGCCTGACTGCCCGCCTTCCGCGTTGATGATGGCCGTGTCCGCATCGGGCGCGTCGTCGGAGCCTTTAGCTTCATGTGTCAGGTAGGTTCCTAGGGAGGACAGAGGCTCCTCTTTCCAGGAGCAGCTTCCAAACCTCTGAAGCCCCCCTCGCCCGCTTCCCCCCACCACCATT